CCTGATATAACCCATACACAACCTGAGCCCATAACTCAGTCAGCGGACTCGACAAAATCCACAGCGCATTCTAACGGCCAGATTAATAACACGGACAGCAGTTCCGTATGAAGGTCGGTGTGCTGTGGGCTAAATTATTTGGCAGGGGGCGGGGGGGCTGTAGCACGATGAAGTAGCCCATATCATAATTGGGCCGCTCACGCAAGAATCGCAAACGAATACAATAAGGCAGTGGGAAAGTGAACTTACCGGTTAGTAGTGGCATGTGTTAACAGGCAGTACGAATTGCCTTTGGGAATGTTGAAATCAGTTTCGTGGGGTAGGATAATGAAAGGTGCAGAGGGGGGGGGGCGAAGTTACCGCTGTGCCCAACTCTTTATACACCTGACAGAAAACACACGGCATCTGCATTCCAAAGAGCAGCGGGTTGATGCTGTTTAGGGAACATTATTACTGTTTATTCTGAGAACCATACACTTTGTCGGCAAAACGCTAATTTTGGGCCTACTTTCCTTACTTTAACAAATAGAAGTAGGCATGCGAGATCATCATATGATGCCTGTGTATGTGTTAATCCATGCCGTTTGAATGCTTGAACTCATCTTTATGAAACTCGGTATGTATATATCACCTGAGCTCATTTCAAACGCATATTGTTGCTAGGCAACAGCTTACTGAAACGTTACCGCGGCAACGAATTAACACGGAACAGTAGAAAAACTCTTGGACGCTTTGTCTTCTGTTCGGTCCCTGTCGTATCAAAGGAAGGTAAGGGACTAGCTTCTCCCAGAACTTAATGTTTAATGTTAAAGCGAGTTGTAGACGCCGGTATAATAAACGGTATCCTTTAAAGGATTAGGCATCACGGTATGAAAACGTAGTGGGGAGTGGAAGTGTACGTGCCTTCATAACCTCAGTACTAAGGGAGGGACCAGCTTCACGTCCCGGCCGCTTTACACCCGAGGAAGTCGCCCCCGGTACCAATCGGATAGGAGGCTGGGTGGTTCGGACGGCGGGAATGATGGTTATGTGTGTTTTGTGTGAATTTTTTAAGTCGTTGTGATGCCATTTCGGGCAGATCATAGCTTCTTTTTTGTACAGTTTACTCGTAGTTGTTTTGTGTGTGTGTGTGTGTAAATAAGTAATGTTAGTCTCCTGATGAATTAAGACATTCCGTTCCGTGAGAACGTTTTATCATGATGTTGCCCTATCCAAATTAATAACCTTTTGTCTTTTTAATGTTTATCTTTCGTTATTCGCTGAGCTGCAAACATCTTCACGCACTCTTTTCTTTATTCCTTTTAACGTAATCCTTTAAGTGAAGATCAGTCAAGTTGTTGGGATCTTAAATGAATATGTACAACTATTATTGCAATTTAACAAAGCCAGTGAAGAGAAATATATGGTGTTTGCATATACATCGTAGTGTCTTGTACCTGACTCTTTGAAGTCATCTGATTTGTGATACACCGTCACTTTTGGATGAGAAGAAAATTACACTTTCCTTTTTAAAATTCTAGACCGAAAGTGCATGGGGTATGTATTTAAAACTAGTTTCTTAGCGAACGGGTTTGCGTAGAGATTTTGACTTGTATTGAAGAGGTGACCGGTTCGTATCTCGGCCGGGACGCCGATAATCTTGAGGTTTTCGTTGCATTCTCAGTCCTCCCAGGTAGATTCCGAGTAAAAACTGAAGCTATCCCTGTAACAGGCCGTGGAGGCTCATAGGGTTGTGAGATATTGAGGCTCACACATTTTCTAGGAAATCGGCTCACAGATGGCTGTGAGGTTTCAGCCTTACGCGCCTGCTGGCCTCCCTTTACCCCCCAGGAAGATTCCTGGTACTCATTTCTGTTAGAGGCTGAGTTGACCTCATGGCCATAGTGCTGCTGGAAGGATTAGTTAAATTGAAAAATCCAGTGACATCGAGAATCGAACCCGCGACCTTCCGGCTTGTAGCATAGTGCCTCAACCATCTTCGCTACCACGTCCCCCCCAGATTCCGAGTAAGACCTTGAAATGAGCAACGACCACTTCCTTCCCTATCCTTTCCGTATGACGGTGCATCGTTTGAGCTACAGGCTGTCGTTAAATATACCACAATTAAAAATAACGAAACTAAACTGGCTGTGGTCAAGAAGAGGTTTGAAGGCTTATAGATTAATTCATGCATAATGTGACGCATATGCCCATTGGTAGGCAACGACTCGGTAAAAACATTCCCAAAGTTACGCTCTCAGCAACAGGACATCCACTGCTGGGTAACTGACCAATAAACACGCATTCTTGACAACAGAAGACGGTGTTTTCCGTGGAGTCCGTTCCGAGAGATCATAAGAGGGCACAGTTAGAAGATTTGGAGGAGTCCGAGGGAGTACAAGGGAGTAGTGAAGTTAAGTTCAATTGGAAGTGAGAGCAGTTCCAGTGGAGTGTCCAGTGGAAGAAGATGAGTGTCTCAGTGATTTGTGAACTGTTGTAACCAGTTGTATGAAGGTGCAATAAATTCGATCATCAAACCCAAAACCCGTCTTATTAGTCACACAAACCCCGGATACGTGACAATATATTAGTATTTGAGTTAACTTTAACTACGTATGTCTGAGAATGAACTGCTGAAATGTGAACCTCGTTCCACGGGACACAGCAGAAAGAGCTGAGGTGGGCTTCCCTCTTAGACGAGTTTCTAACTTCAGTGAAATATGCCATCAGCTTCAGTTAACTACCTCTGTCTTCACTTCTAATCTATTGTTTCCGTCTATAATGAAACAATTAACAACACCGATTTTTATAAACATAACGACCACTATATGGATTAAGTGTGAATCAATGTTAATTGTTGAAGAAAGCAGTCTTCTGGGATTTGGCACCGTGTATATGTGGTGTTAACCGACTGGTCACCAGTCTGCTTTTACCGGTTCTCACGGTCTCTTTGCTTGCGGATTTCTTATATTTTTCCTTCTACCCTGAAGATGGAGGCGATACGTTCCTCCGAAACGTCGGTTAACACCACATATACAGGGTGCCAAATCCCAGAAGACTCCTTTCTTCATAGTCACCGCCGTGAAAGCCTCAAATCTTACATAATGTTAATTGTTGCATTATTGACGGAAACAATGAATGTATGTATGTATGTATGTAAGGGTTGGGCCATAAAAACCGGCCCTTGCACTGCGACCTTCAGTGATCTACTGTGCTTCCCCTTTGGATTAATCCTTTATTAATCCTACACTTGGAATGAAATGTAGGACTTTATTTATGAGGCCGTCATAAAGTCACTTGGTTCCATGAAGAACTGACCCAGGTGATGAAATCTTAAGTATGTTATGGCCTCACAATTACATAGAATGTTACACGGAAACAATAGACGTTAAGTACAATGCAACAAGATGCTCAAATATAATATTACCTCTGTCTTATATAAAATTACGTGGAAAGATTAAATTGGGTTTATTTGCATTTGCAGGTATTCCCGAAGCCAAAGACATTAGGGATGATTGTTATAGTTAACTGACCTTTTGGTTGGTAGATTGGTTTATTCGTTAATCCTGTGATGTGGTACTGCTGTATACCGTAGAATATATAAGTTTCCACCCCTGACGTTTTGTTCCTGTCCTCGGGGTTGGCAGTTCTGTTTTGGGCCCGAGAATAGTGTGATTAGTTGATGTTTCTTGACCTGCTTGTTCGTTAAATTGGTTCCGTTTTATTCAACACCTGCCATAACTTTAGCCTTACGTCACACCGGAAACATAACGTCACATATGGTGCTGGTGTCTTTGAGTGAGGGCCTTGCTTCTTCCGGTAATTGTCATCAGGGACCGCGACCAAGTAACAGCCATGTGGGTATTCAGTATTTTGATCATTGCGTTGAGTGAGTTATGGCTCCTAGCAGACGCTCGTTGCTCTTGCTTCGCAGTCCCCGCGATCTGGTGGCGGATACTGCAAGGACAGCGTTCAAGTGGTTGGAACACCTGAATAGAATGAATCAGACCTGCTTTCACGTTGGTATTTTATCAGCTTACTTAGAGCCTGAAGATGGAAGCGATATGTTGCTCTGAAACATCTGTTGATTTTCAACGGACTACGCGTAATCAAACCTAGCGGTGATCCAGAAGATATTAAAGCAGGGGGTTCCAAATTATTGAAATTAATTAGAGCCTTGCCTCTCTTATAATTCAGAATTGATATTCACTTTGGCTGTTCATTTTAATGCTTGATAAATTAGTTAACGTATTTCTTACCTTTCTACAAAAAGCAAGTCAAATATATCTTTTTCCCCTGGTTAGCCGATTTTTCCAAAATTCTTGTTCCGATTTTGTGGATGGTAAACTCTTTTATCAGGTCGACGATGATGTGGAGTTAAATATCATATTAGAACACATTGCGTTTTTGTTATATTTGAAGTTAATATTTTCAGTTCTGTTTTGTTTCGTTTTCACGGTTAAAGATCGAATTACGATATTTTAATTTGATTTCCATAGGTAACTAGCTAGTTTCAGCTCTTTTTCAAGTAGCGAGGTGGTATCGCTCTTTTTGTTGCGTTTCCTTGTGAGTAAGGAACCAGTTCCAAACTTAGTGTTGGTTTCCGCCAGTAACTAAACAGTTCCAGAAGGTCTCGTTGCTTTTCCATGATGAACGAGACACTTACAGAATGCCTTGTTGCGTTTCCACGAGCAGCGTTTTCACGGGTATCGGACCGGTTCCAACGTTTCCAGAACTTAGTGTTGCGTTTTCACGAGTAACCATCTAGTTTGAGAACTTCTTGTTGCACTTCCATGCGGAATGATCCATTTCCTAACAAGTATTGTTGCGTTTCCATTAGTAACGAATGAGTTCGAGAACTTACTGTTGGGTTTCCACGAGTAACGAGCTAGTTTCAGCACTTCTGATGGTGTTTCCATGAGTAACGAAAGAGTTCCAGAACTTCTTGTATTTCCATGAGCAACGAGCTAGTTTCAGCACTTCTATTGGCGTTTCCATGGTGACGATTTGTACTGTTGCAGGGGAGACGCTGATCACGCGCCTGACAACACAGAGGTTTCTGGACGTGGGGGAGAACTGGACGGAGGAAGAGCATCTCTCGTCTCATTCCGTGATGAGGTACGAATACCGAGTCACCTGCGACGCACATTATTACGGCGCCGGCTGCGCCAACCTGTGTCGGCCTCGAGACGACAACTTCGGCCACTACAAATGCTCCCCCACCGGTGATCGTGTCTGCTTGTCTGGCTGGCAGGGAGATTACTGCACCAAACGTAAGTGTTCCTCATATTTGTGTAATTTGGTGTCTTGTATGGTTTGCCTCGTTCCTGCAACATCCTTTATGATCCACATTCGTTGAGGAATTTTCGGGGTCTCGCGCTGTGCCGAAAGGTTGAAACTCTCGTAACCTGAAGGAGCGACCAGCACTTCCTTACCATTTCGGCACACGATAAGTAGAACACCCAGAAAATTCTAATGTATTGTTTTGCATAGACCCATTGCTAGGTAACGACTCGGTAAACACATTCCTGACGGAGCCAACGCTCGCAACAGTACGACGTCTGTTGCTAGGCAATGGATCGCTAAACACACCTAAAACAATACGGGAGAATAGAAGACGGTGTTTTTCTTGGGGTCCGCCCCGAGGCTACGTAACGGGAAGTTCCAAGGAAGCAGTAAAAAAAAAGATAAACTTGTCCCTCTGCTTAACTAATCAAGCACTAACACATGAAGGCGTATGGGGGAGTAGATATATAGATCCACGTTTCTTGACCTCGGCACTAGTTGGAGGTGAGTGGTAAGCTTCACACCCTTGCCGCCTTACCTCCGATGTACGAGCCCCCGATGCCCATTGAATAGGAGGTTGGATGGACCCCAGAGCTGGTCTGGACGACATGGAGAAAACTCTTTACCCTACCGGGACTCGGAACTCCGACCCCTCGGTCGTCCAGCCCGTAGCCAGTCGGTATACTGACTACGCAATCACGGCTCACTCCAAGGGAACAGTTAGCTGTCAGAAGTTGAGAGTGTTCAGTTGAAGAAGAATTAATTTGAGTTAGTTGCGGTCGAGAATTTGGGTCGAGTTGACTGAGAAGAAAAGGCAAGAAAGGAATTAGGCTGTGACAAGAAGACTTCATGTGCGATTTGTGACAGTGAGACTTATAAGTCCGTTGCCAGGATACGACTAGTGAACACTGAGAACCATAGTGCGTGTGCGGCGGTGAACTGCAAAGTGTGTAGAATAGCCATAGCGCTGTATTACCTGTAGTCCCGAGTTGAATGCATAATTGTCGATAAATCCAATCTAAACCTCGTCTTTAGTCACTAATACACGTGACAGTATTTTTCGATAATTTGAACAGTATTGTTGAGTTTTCTGAATTAAGATTATGGAATCTTTTACAGCATCTTGAGGGAGGGGGCTCATCAACGGTTGGTTAGATTCACTGGAGTCGTTTATTCAAGTATTCTAAATTTTATGGTAGAAGGAACATGGAAGCTTTGGCGTTGCGTCCTTTGAAGGAACTTCTCAGTGTGTGTGGTGACTGCTGAATTTTTTGAAAGGAATTTCATGTGATGTTTTTGTCACTCCGGGAGTCTTTGACATACAGGAATTTACGATGTACAAGTGTAAGCACTTCCCTGCTGTATTTTTGATTTTCTGGAAAAGAAAGATATTTTAGTTCCATTTGGATATTCTGCGACAAGAGTGATATTCAGTTTCGTTGGAAGTGTGCATAGGCTACCTGTTTAGTGACGTCAGGATTCTGTTTGACCCAGTAACAATTAAGCCCCCTCCCCCCGTTTCGGCTCCCTGAAATTATAACTATATTGCAGTCGTTTAACCTAAGAGCACATATGTTAGAATAGAAATGTAATTAATATTTGTCGGCAAACCATAAGAGACAAAACGTCATTGCCACTTGGTTTAATTGACAAATGAAGTAATATAATTAACATTTGAAACCAGCAGTGATGAATTTTTTCTTAGGAGTTTTGACATATCACAGCGGTAAAGTCTTTGATCGCAGGTGTTCAGAACAAGCACTCACAAATTTGTCATGTAATTTGATACGAAACGACGCCGGACTGTGCGCTGAGATGGTGAGCATGTTGATTGGTCAGTATAGAAACTGGAGACCACCTTAAATTAAAATTTGAACCAATCACAGCATAGTGAGAGGGTCAGTTTTTACAGATAGAAATGCTTCGAAGTTTGGAAACGTCGTGACGCTTGGTTTCTAAAATATTTGGGTTTAGGTGGTTAAAGTGAACATATGTAAAAAGGCGTTTGATGCGGGCCTGTATTGGGAGAAAAGACGTAAAAACTATTTATCGTAGTAAACACTGGCGGAAATCTTCCAAGTGAACCGACGGAAAAGTATTTGTATCTGCAAAAACTTCGTCAACAAGCAGAATTGTGAACAGGGTCTTTTTTTTTTATAAGGTTGGTTTTAAATTATTGTGAAACCCTGCCTTCCCGAGCAAAACCGGATATGCCCTGAGAAAGGTGAAAATAAACCTTGAGAGGGTGTAAGTCCTAATGTCGACGACACTGCCTCAAGGGGCGCGTTGTTGTGTGGCAGACCCTTGCGGAATTTTCGAGGTGACTTACTACCTCGTTTTTCAGGTTACGCAGCATGGCAAGCCATGCATATTCATCCCTCCTCCCCTCTTTTTTTTTTTGGAATGAATCATTTCCAGAAAATGTGTGGAAAATGCTAATTAAGTTCGTAGTTTGAGAACAGGCACGTGTCTGTTGCATTATTCCAACGTGATTCATACCGCATTCCGCCAAAGATGGGCTTTGAAAACGAGGTAAGTGAAACTGTTTGCTGTCGTTTTGCTAATTGATGACGCGGGTTATGACGCCCACCGTACCTCCCTTATCCCATATCTCTGCAGACTGTCCGGCGACAAGGAAAATGTATGAGGCATAAAAACTGGTCAGAAATTCAACGAGGTTGCATTTGGGTACCCTAATTATTTAGTTCCAACATAAATCAGAATGCAGACCGGTACTTCACCCCTCATTTGTCAATATTTGCGTCTCTGCGGAGACGCAAGCAACTTCAGAGATTGTTAATGCCTTGTGTCTATTTTTCTGTTTCAATTTTGATTAAAATTAAAGGATATTAATGAGACGGTAACACGAAATTAATTGTGAATTATGGTGTTTGGTTAGCTGTGTCACAAAAGGTGTCTAAATTCGGTTTCCAGTTACATTATGTCATGTTCTAACACAAATACTTAATGTTTTAACATACTTTGTAACGTTCACTCTGAACAGACACGGAAAATGTTCGTAGGAATTGGTTAGATGTGTAAAACAATCAGTAGCTGAAGATTTGTTTTCTGGGATATAACACCGTCTGGTTAGTTCTGAGTCAACCCGTCGTTTCGGAAGAACGTAGCCTACAACTTCACGGTCGAAGAATAAGGAAAACAAGAAACCAGCGTGAAAGTAGGTGGAAAGCAAAGATTGGTTTATTCTTTGACGCAGAAGCTGGAGGCGACATGTTCTTCCGAAACGTTGTTCTACTTCCAACGGACTACACGGCGTTATATCTCAGAAGTTAGTACTCTTCATAACCACCGCTGTGAGAACCTCAAATCCTACAATAATTGGCTGGTTTATCAGGAATTTAATTTCGAGGGATGTGTCAAAGAATTAATAAAGACACATTTCATAACATTAATTTCCAGTTCACCAAACCGTCATTCCTAATTAATTTTGTTAGAAAAATTAATTTTGCGAAGCTCTTCAGTTACCAAATAAAAACAACTTTGAGTAACTTACTATGTGCCTTGATTAGCCTGGTCATAATGCTTAAAACACGATAGTTTTGAATTTCAGCGTAACTTTGTAACGTGTGAGACGGTGAAACTAACCTAGGGCGTGGAACTAGACGTATTATAATTTGTGCGCATGCCTGAAATCTCGCAGAGCTCTGTGTTTCTACAGGTAAACTTAAGACAGTGAGACGAAGCGAACAAAAACATATCACATTGCGGTAAAGACACGCTATCATCTCCCTATCTGTGGGTATTTAGAATGTTCTGCGGTGCATGAGATGCTGTGCCCTTGCCGGCTCATGTGTATAAGCTCCCATTTCAAGTTTCCCTTCTGTACTGCTTGTGCAGACTGGCAACATCGTCTCCTTCACGTTTCCCAGGCCTCATCCATCCGCCCGGATTTCGTCCTTCCTCTGAAAACCTTCCCACGCTAGTCTTTGGTGTTACTCCATGATAATCCTTAGTTGGTGGCCGCAGTAGTATGGCTGGGGGCCTGGTGGTGAGCATAAGACGTTGGTTGGTCAGGTAAAGTTGTTCCTCGGAGAGCCTCGCAGGTAGCCCGCGGGTTGCAGGCACGCGGCTTCTGCAGCCTCCAGCAGTAGAGATTTCCTCTGGGGTGGGAGATGTTCTACTGCAGAATACAGTGAAGGGAAACTTTTATAGTATTATGCATTTTGTTGTGGATCATAATTAACGGGAAAAGTTTTGGCGTAACACAACGCGATTCGTACAGTTAAAAGGACATAATTTCTTAATACTAAAATTTTAATATTCGAAATTCTGACGTGCAATATTGTTTTTAATGTACGTGAATTTTAATTTTACGGCATATGCACTAGTATACTATATGAATGTTATGCATTACACCAATATGGATCCATATTAGGCATTCATTTAACTATAGGCGTATTTATAGAACTACCTGATGATGGTCCCGTAAGGACCGAAACATGTAGTAGCTACTGAAATAAGCCAGTGGTTGAGAGTTATGATGGTTTATTTAATTAAATATTGAAGAAAGCAGTCTTCTGGGATTTGGCACCGTGTATATGTGGTGTTAACCGACGTTTCGGAGGAANATTGTTCAGTCGACGGCCAAACCATTTCCCTTTAATTGTAATTTACCATTACGCTGTCAGCTAAGGACAAAAATATGTTGATGTTTGCTTCGAGTTAATCGACGCAGCGGTAAGGCAAATGACGCGTGTTTCGAAAATATTCGGTTCGAATCCCAATCGGGATCTAGCGTTCTTTCTGTAGGTTAGCCATAGGCCCTACATAGAGTAGCTGAAAACAGACCGTTACATACTGGTTTTGTTTCTCGGGATTGGAAATATCTTAATAATGGACTTCATAGTCAAATTAACTTAAACTTTTTCTACCTGGGTGGAGAGGGCGGCTTTACGCGTGGCTTAACATATCTACTACCCTGAAGATGGAGGCAGTACGTTCCTCCGAAACATCTCTGAACTTAATT